GAGAGAGAGAGAGAGAGAGAGAGAGAGAGAGAGAGAGAGAGAGAGAGAGAGAGAGAGAGAGAGAGAGAGAGAGAGAAATGGCATCCTCATTTGCCAAACACATGCAAAAGACCCTGCTGACACATTTTTTGTTTACGGAATGCAGAGAATTGGGATTCCATTTTAGTTCTGATTCACCCAGACTCCACCAACACAGCCTCACCGGCATTGAACGGGAAACGTTATAAGGAGTCTCAGCAGCGACCCTGCCAGAACATTTCTGCTAAGTTCTCGCTTTCTGCGGTTATGACACACATTTATCCAGGAACATTTCTGCCAAGCTCCGGTTTTACTGCAGATTTCTGATGACAAGATTTGCGTTCACTGCGGTAATAACAGAGCCTTCTGCAGACAAATTCGGGCTTTACTGGGAAATATAGCAGCAACTGCTCAAGTTTTACTGCAGTAAAGTGGATATTTTCACGAACTCCGCAAGCTCAAATTTACTGCATGTTTAAACTCTGACAGCTCACCACTGCTGAGGTAAAGTGTATCACCCTTCTCCACAAGTTCAAACATTTGTGGCTCTCCTTCGCACTCCACTCACTGTCCTTTTAGAAACCCCATGTGCCCAGGAGCCATATCTTCTTTGTCCTGGAATCTGAATCATCAAGAGCCCTTGAGTTGCAATGGGCTCAAATGCAGGTACAAATGACACCAATGTTCAAGCAGCTATTTTGCATTGGTTTCAATGGTTTCACATTTTATTTCTGCGCCCATCAGGATTTGAACTCTTAACCTATTTGATCAATAGTCAGGTATCTACCTCTTCAACCGATTGTTCAACCGATTGTTCAACGATTGTTCAACCGATTGTTCAACCGACTGTTCAACGGATTGTTCGGCGATTCAACTGATTCTTCGCCGATTGTTCAACCGATTGCTAGTTGTGCATGTGCTTGAATTGTGACACGGGTACAAATGACACCAGTGTTCGAGTGGTTACTTTGCACTGGTTTGAAGTGCGAAGTGAACGGTTTCACATTTTCCTTTTGTCCCCTTTAAAATTTTGCATTTCTGTGGCCTTTTTTTTTTGGTAATGGGAGATATCCCCCTAAAATTATTCCATCGATATCCCCCTAAAATTATTCCATCCATCAGGATTTGAAATTTTGAACTCTTGTTGATCTGTTTGATCAGTAGTCAGGTGTCTACAACTTCAACCAGCTGTCAGTTCTGCATGTCTATTTCTATGACCTCTGGTTCCCTCCTATGCCTCCTTTCACCTGCCAAACAGTATTCTTCTTTTTCCCTTTATCTAAAGCCATGGCCGCTAACGCCATTGTATCCGCGACTGATGTCATCAGAAAAACAAACCTGCGCGGGGCCTCCTTTTGGCTGTTGCCGCCAGCCATTTCGCTCTGGCAGAGTGTGGCCTCCTGCGCCCGAAACTCACAGTTCCGCATGTCCGCCGTGTCGGAGGAACACATGGCTGGCAAACACACTGATGGCTTGGAAAGGGGATCATCAAAGAGAAAGGGGGTGTCAGAGACACATGGCTTGGCAGTAAAACGTGTCTATCAGTCAGTCAGCCACATGCTCCGAGACCTTGCTTCCCATCTTTGGCTCGTTGGTTTTTCGTTCCCTCCTTGGCCTCCCTGCACCCTCCTTTTATTTGACCCCCTTTCCAAGTCATAAAAACCTCCTCCCTTTTCATCCATTCCCTGCTCCCTCATCCGTATGGCCACTACCTCTCTTGCCCACCACTTTACCACAAGCTCCTGCCCTGCCCTTCATGTTCCTTTCCATCACTCTGCCTCTGCATCATCGCATCCCAACCCCCAATCCCCCAACCCCTCACTTGTAATCTCCTAAATTGCCGTCCACATTCTCCCTCCTCACTGTCAAACCTTCCCCCCTCCATTTCTCAACCATAAAACCCTTGAATCACCTACACCACCACTGCCTGGGAGAGCCACCCCTTTTTCCCAAACTGCAGACCACATATCCTCCGATACTTCCCTCCTCGACGCTACAGGCCTCGTTGACTTGGCATGTCAGATCTGGAGGTAGTGTTCGTTTATACGACCAGTGCAAGATATGGAGTACATAGGTTTTTTTTCCCTTTGTTTGCTGTGTTGCATGGCAGGCTGCCATCAAGTCTGTTTTTATTTCCTTTGTTTGCTGTGTTGCATGGCAGGCTTCCATCAAGTCTGTTTTTATTTCCTTTGTTTGCTGTGTTGCATGGCAGGCTGCCATCAAGTCTGTGCGAAGGGTTGGCAGGTTGGCCCAGATCATAGGAGGGCATCTGTATCCGGACGTGCAGGTGTCCACGTCCATCAACAGAACCACTGTAAGATGTTATGTACAAAAATGCCGTAATCGAAAGGTACTTGTGGTTCTAACCCCCCCCCCCCCCCCCCCCCCCCCCCCCTCCCCCAAACCGTAGCCCCCCCCCCCCCCCCCCCATGAAGTAATCCAACCTTGCTCCCATATCATTGCTCAATCTCCCCCTTCAGGTCGAACAACCCTTCCCTCACATTCCCTAACCGCCTCTCTCCCACCCAACCCTTTGGCAGTCCTTTTTGAAGTTGAACTGCAGCTCACACACACGGTGCAACAAGAGAGGCAGGCACCACGTGCTGTGGCACTTCTTTAAGTTCTTTTCCTTTTCGATTTCCCGTATGGTGTGGACTTTAAGATGTCATGTAGGAAATGACGCCATAATTGAAATTTCTTTACTCTGCAGTGTGAGTCTGCACACCTCTGCACACTGGCCAGACTGTGTTTACAACTCTACACTCTGGCGTGGCACAGTTCACTGACATTGCGCAAGTGTCGGGAGGGAGTGGTCGGTCTGACACACGAGTTCACTGACATCTCGTGCGTGCTCAGCCACTGAGCTGGCACAGTTTGTTGCCATTGTGTGCTGCTGTGTATTTGCCCCACTGCATTGCAAAAATCCAAACAAACACTTCATCTGTCGTTCCGAGTACATCACATTTTGAGCGAACTCTGATACGCAGTTTTCAGTCCAGATTCCAGATTCAATCTGGCACACATATCCCTCTCGTTTTCATATTTTAGGGGAAAGAAAGAAGAGGGGGTTAACCCTAACTAGATTTGAACTGTTGATCTCTTTCTCAGCAGTTACACGTGACACGTACAGCGCCAGCTTTTTGTCGGAGTCTTTGTTTGCGTTTGTCTTGAGATGGAAAAAAGGCAGGGAGGTGAAAGCCCTGGCAAAAGAAAGGGGCACTAGCCCCTAGTATCTAAACAATTAATTATACGTGTGTAGTAAAACTGTGTACCGTTCACCCACAGACATGTACAATACCAGCCCTTTTTTCGCATTTAGCTTATTTTCTGTTTGTTCTCGTCTTGAAATTAGAATACGAAATGGGCAGGGCTACGAAAGGCAACCAAATCACAAAAAAAAAAAGAAAAGGAAAAAAAAAAAAAAAAAAAAAAAAAAAAAAAAAAAAAAAAAAAAAAAAAAAAAAAAAAAAAAAAAAAAAAAAAAAAAAAAAAAAAAAACAGGCAACCAATCTACAGGGTCTGTCAACTAGCCAGCAAAGTCGGAACTGCCAAACTCTCACACAACTCACACAAGACCACCTCTCAAGGGAATTAAAAAATAATAATAATAATAATAATAAAATAATAATAAATAATAATGATAAATCATCATCATAATAATAATAATAATAAATAATAATCATAAATAATAATAATAATCACCTCTCAATGCATTGATGAACAGCAGTGCATGTACATATTTCATCAAAGAAGTGGGTGTGTATGAACTTGCCTTCTCTGGAGCAACTGCTCAAGGAAAAGTCTTAGTCTGCTGACCCCTACGCGCACACGCTCTTCCTTCGTCAACGCCCGGTCCAATTTCTCCTCCAAGAGCTGGACATCTAAGGCCTCTCTTAGCGCAACGGCCTGGGCATGGCACAACAAGGATGGAAAGCCACCGCTGACACAACGCTTCATTCAGTGAAAATTTCGCAAAAAGACACAAGAGTGCAATGTGAGGCTGTGTGGTGGTGAGTGTGCTCCCCCCGCCCCCCCCCCAAAAAAAAAAGAAGGGGTAACTACAGCGCAGTCACGGTTTTGGTTCTAAAACATCCACTTCAGGCATCCCCCGAATACAACACATCCCCACCCAACCCTAAAGCTGGGTCAGATACATTCACGATTTTCCTCGCTTTGGAGTCAAATCCGTGAAACCGTGACTGAAACGCATTTAAAACTGAAAACCTTGACTGCACCCTTGTTTTCCCAAGACAAAAAGGAGCCTGTGTGGTGGTGATGAACGGAAACGAGCCACAATTCTCATTTCCTTTCGAGACCCATAGCCAACGGCCATTGCATTTTTTAAGATGGTCTGTAGCTTTGTGGGGCATCCCAATCAACTGATTACACTGAATTGAGGGGCCCTGTTTGCACTCAATTAACTACCACAGTTGATTGGGATGCACCACTTGGCCAACAGTGCGCCCGCCCCTCAATGTGAACATTCCCCATTTTGTACATGACAAATAACACAGTTAGACACACAATATATAATAACTGAATATTAAAAAGTAATAAAAACATTATTATTGTCATTGCAAGAGCTGCCGTTGGGATAAGGACCTTCAAGATGTGCCAGACGAATCATCGGTAGACAGGCTGACCAGTCGGGTCTGTAGCTGCGCCTAACAGGGCCCGGTAGGGGTATCCAAAGCCAGGGTTACATCTAGGTTGAAGTTAAGACCAGGAACAGCAGATGTCCTGGACTGGTAGGCCTACCCGGTAGGGCGAGCCCATGGGCGGCTTAAGTCCCATCATACACAGCCTAGGGCCCACCCATCCCACCCATGGTAGACCTAGAGCCTGCCCATTGCAGGCCTAGGGCCCATCATGGGCCACCATGAGGGGTCTACCGATAGGGTCCATCATGGGCAGCCTACACGTAGTGAGCACCCATGGAAGGCCTCTAGACCTGTGGGAGGCCCAGACCCCATCCATGGAAGAGCCAGGGCCCACTCATCGCAGGCATACGGCCCGCCCCCGGGGAGCCTACCGGTAGGGCCCATCATGGGCAGCCTAGTGACCACCCATGTAAGACCTAGGGCCCAGCAGTGGAAGGCCTACAGCCCACCCATGGCAGACCAAGGGGCAGCCGTCACAGGCCTAGGGCACACTCATGGGGGGTCTACAGGTAGGGCGCATCATAGGCAGCCTGGGGACCACCTGAGGAAGGCCTAGGGCCCGTCCGTAGGAGGTCTACAGCCCACCTGTGGGAGGGCTGTATTCCAGAGCCCACAGTGGAGAAAGATCTGACCAACTTCGCCAGAGCTGATCCTGACCTCAGCCCTTCCATAGAAAGCTCAGGCTTGTAGTCCAGTCGCCGACCGCTCAGAGACCAGCTCGCAAACTTGCGCGGATACAAGCAAGAGGGAGAATTACTCTGTGATCATTCTTATGCATCGCTAATGGCGCAGTAGCACGGACAAGAGGAGCACTGCTTGGCACCCAAGCGCCCCCTCACCTCACTAGGAAGAAGACTGCCATAACCAAAAGCTTCCCGTGTTGGCAGAACAGCAGGGTTGGTACTTAATAGATATCGTCCCTGGTTTGCACCGAAGACATCATTGCTTACATGGAAGACTAAGACGATCAGCCTTAGGGAGCGGGGGATCTTTGGCTACTGTGGGCATTGGCCTGAGGACACTACCATGGTGATTCATAGCACTTCTATCTCCACACGACAGCATTGGAGGATCACAGAGTAAGCCAGAGCTTTATGGAGTAGCCCAGAATACTGTAGGCCGTCAGAAGCTAAGTGATGGAGAGAGAGAGAGAGAGAGAGAGAGAGAGAGAGAGAGAGAGAGAGAGACGATAAGTCTCCAACCTTGGCCAACA